CTGATTCATCCCAAACTCTTATAGACGTTATTTGTGTTTCAGACGTTAACATTGTGCAGCAGAAGCGTGTCGTCAGTGTTCATGGTATTAGCGACCATGAATTAACGTATTGTGTATTTGCAACAATTGCCATTTTTTAATATGTTTGATTATGATAATATTAATGATAAAGTCAATTTTTTTAACTCATGTTTGTTGTCGGTGATTAATGAACACATTCCTATTAAGCGTTGCAGATTTAATAGGGCGCCAGCCCCTTGGTTGACGGACACGGCTAGGCTTATGCAGAGAACTAGAGACGATGCTTTTGCAAGGTTTAAGAGGTACGGAACCAAGGTGGCTTGGCAATACTATGAGGAAATGAGAAACGTTACCAATTCGGCAATAGATAAGGAGAAGAAGGCCTTTCTGGAGCATCGGATGCGAGGGGTAAACGGGGACACTTGGAAAGCCTTAAGGTCATTAGGTGTACATAATTCTAAATCCACCGTGATACCTGCGAGTCTTTGTCGTCCAAACGAAATCAACAGATTTTTTATAGACTCTGTATCTGATAATGTGACTTTGCTGGATGATGCGCTTTATCATTTTTATCTAAATAATAGACTTGTTCAGTCAACATTTTCCTTTAGTCCGGTTACGGAGTGTGATGTTATTACTGCAATTTCTTCAATTAAAAGTAATGCTGCAGATATTAATAATCTAAATATTGCATTAATAAAACTATCATGCCCACACATTATAGATTATTTCATACATATACTTAATGCTTGTATAAACCATGGCGTATTCCCAGACGCATGGAAGTGTGCTTTGGTTAAACCACTGGTGAAAATTAGCAATCCTATTGAGTTTGCTCATTTAAGGCCTATAAGCATTCTTCCAGTTTTGTCTAAGGTGGCTGAAAAAATTCTTATTTTTCAGCTCAGAAAATTTATTTATAAAAATAATATTTTGCCAGAGACACAATCAGGCTTTCGGCCTGGATATAGCTGTACCAGTGCGCTACTTCATGTTGTTGATGATATTGTTTCTGGGCTAGACAGGGGAAATGCGACCGTATTATGCCTTTTAGACTTTTCAAAAGCCTTTGATACCATTAATCACGATTTGTTGTTTTCTATTTTGAAGTTTGTTGGTTTGGACGACATGGCAAGCGCGTTGTTACGTGATTACTTAAGAAATCGTCAGCAGAGAGTAATTGTTGAAAATGAATCCTCAGATGCTCTCTATTTGTCATCCGGTGTTCCGCAAGGTTCGGTACTTGGACCTCTTCTTTATACTATATATACGAGTCAGTTTGTTACATACATAAAATATTGCAAGTCTCATTTTTATGCTGATGATACTCAGTTGTATTATTCATTTCGGCCGGACGATGTGCGATTTGCTTGTGAGCGTGTTAATGAGGATCTGCAGAGTGTGGCCGATTGCTCTAGACGTCATAGTCTTCGGATTAATCCTGCGAAAACTGAAATGATTCTCTTTGCACCTCAACGGCAAAGACAAAATATACTTGCTCAACTTAAAATTTCTGTAGATAATACATATGTCCCTCTTAACGAAGTAGTAAAAAGCCTTGGGTTAATTATTGACAGCGGCCTTAAGTTTGCAGAGTTTATTAATAAATGCACACAACGTGCATATTGTAATTTAAAATTAATTTATAATAGCAGACACTTTTTAAATAGAAAAACGAAAGTTATGCTATGTGAATCATTGGTGTTATCGAATTTCAATTATTGCGATGCTGTCTATTCATCTTTTATTTCCTATCTGTCTAAAAGAAAGATACAAAAGGTGCAAAATTCGTGTTTGCGGTTAATTTTCGGAATTAGACGGCGACAGCATGTTGGTCACCGGTTGCTTGATTTGAATTGGTTGAATATGTGTAATCGTCGGGCATTGCACTCAGCTTGTCTATATCACAGGATTATCACCTATCAGAAGCCTTCATATTTATATGATAAGATTACATTCCGATCTGACGTGCATACATTGAATATAAGATTTAGAGGCACGCTGACTCCCCCGATACATAGCCTTCAGCTCTTTAAGAAATCGTTTACATACCAAATTGCTAAAATATACAATGATATGCCGTTAGATGTAAGATCGTCTGCAACCGTATACACAATTAAACGGAAATACTCTAGGTATTTGTCTGGCTTGGCTTGAGGTGTCGTGGTCTATCGCATTCGCATTTTTATCTTGTCGATGACGAGGACGACATGTTATTTTTTTTTTCTCTTCATTTGTTTACTATTTGGTTAGTGTTCAAGTGTGTGCAAGTTTATGTGTTGAGTTTTTGAGCGCTGCTGTTTTTCTTTTTGTTGTCGTCTTTTTTTTTTCTTGGCGTAATTGAAAAGCGGTTTTCTACCGAATTGCACCATTTTTCCAGAAAGAATGTTTTGTGATGAAAATTAAGTTTAGTTTTAAGTAAATTAGTTTAAATTAGTTTTTTAGTAAATTAAGATTAGTTTTGTGAATGTATTGATTTACTTTTTTTCTTTGTTTTTTTTTATTCTCTTTCTGGAAAATAAATGCATTATTATTATTATCNCATTTTTATCTAAATAATAGACTTGTTCAGTCAACATTTTCCTTTAGTCCGGTTACGGAGTGTGATGTTATTACTGCAATTTCTTCAATTAAAAGTAATGCTGCAGACATTAATAATCTAAATATTGCATTAATAAAACTATCATGCCCACACATTATAGATTATTTGATACATATACTTAATACTTGTATAAACGATGGCGTATTCCCAGATACTTGGAAGTGTGCTTTGGTTAAACCAGTGGTGAAAATTAGCAATCCTACTGAGTTTGCTCATTTAAGGCCTATAAGCAATCTTCCAGTTTTGTCTAAGGTGGAAATGAGAAAATTTATTTATAAAAATAATATTTTGCCAGAGACACAATCAGGCTTTCGGCCTGGATATAGCTGTACCAGTACGCTACTTCATATTGTTGATGATATTGTTGTCCGGGCTAGAAAGAGGAAATGCGACCGTATTATGCCTTTTTGGACTTTTCAAAAGCCTTTGATACCATTAATCACGATTTGTTGTTTTCTATTTTGAAGTTTGTTGGTTTGGACGACATGGCAAGCGCGTTGTTACGTGATTACTTAAGAAATCGTCAGCAGAGTGTAATTGTTGAAAATGAATCCTCAGATGCTCTCTATTTGTCATCCGGTGTTCCGCAAGGCTCGGTACTTGGACCTCTTCTTTATACTATATATACGAGTCAGTTTGTTACATACATAAAATATTGCAAGTCTCATTTTTATGCTGATGATACTCAGTTGTATTATTCATTTCGGCCGGACGATGTGCGATTTGCTTGTGAGCGTGTTAATGAGGATCTGCAGAGTGTGGCCGATTGCTCTAGACGTCATAGTCTTCGGATTAATCCTGCGAAAACTGAAATGATTCTCTTTGCACCTCAGCGGCAAAGACAAAATATACTTGCTCAACTTAAAATTTCTGTAGATAATACATATGTCCCTCTTAACGAAGTAGTAAAAAGCCTTGGGTTAATTATTGACAGCGACCTTAAGTTTGCAGAGTTTATTAATAAATGTACACAACATGCATATTGTAATTTAAAATTAATTTATAATAGCAGACACTTTTTAAATAGAAAAACGAAAGTTATACTATGTGAATCATTGGTGTTATCGAATTTCAATTATTGCGATGCTGTCTATTCATCTTTTATTTCCTATCTGTCTAAAAGAAAGATACAAAAGGTGCAAAATTCGTGTTTGCGGTTAATTTTCGGAATTAGACGGCGACAGCATGTTTGTCACCGGATGCTTGATTTGAATTGGTTGAATATGTGTAATCGTCGGGCATTGCACTCAGCATGTCTATATCACAGGATTATCACCTATCAGAAGCCTGCATATTTATATGATAAGATTACATTCCGATCTGACGTGCATACATTGAATGTAAGATTTAGAGGCACGCTGACTCCCCTGATACATAGCCTTCAGCTCTTTAAGAAATCGTTTACATACCAAATTGCTAAAATATACAATGATATGTCGTTAGATGTAAGATCGTCTGCAACCGTATACACATTTAAACGGAAATACTCTAGGTATTTTTCTGGCTTGGCTTGAGGTGTCGTGGTCTATCGCATTCGCATTTTATCTTGTCGATGACGACATGTCGAGGACGACATGTTATATTTTTTTTTCATTTTCATGTAATTGAAAAGCGGTTTTCTACCGAATTGCGCCATTTTTCCAGAAAGAATGTTTTGTGATGAAAATTAAGTTTAGTTTTAAGTAAATTAGTTTAAATTGGTTTTTTAGTAAATTAAGATTAGTTTTGTGAATATATTGATTTAATTTTTTTCTTTGTTTTTTTATTCTCTTTCTGGAAAATAAATGAATTATTATTATTATTATTATAAGACAGTCTTAAACATTATCTAGTTTTTCATAGGTTAAAAAAATCATTAAAGAATAGCTCAAAACGATGTCAAAAAATCATCGTTATACCCATCTCAAATGAAAAAAGGTATTACAAATAATTTATCTACAACAAATTAATATTTTGGCGATAATCGTAGAACGCTTTTCAAAGTGAGCCATCAAAAATATTCAGATACTGACATAGTTGATGGAATAACCTAGATGGAATATTNGACTTCCGGTATAACCGGAAGTGCTAGAAATCTGAAAATATTTTAGATGAAGAGAACGTAATTGATAATACTTAAGTCTGCATTCTCAAATTTTTTGTTTGGGCAGAACCCCAGAAACGTTTAATGACCGGTCTCGCTGAGACACCTGTATAGTCTTCTTAAAGAGTAAATTATTTTGTGGAAGCAGCAAGCAATTTTTCCAAGTGATATTTAGTCACTTTTACACTTTTAAAAAATCTGATTAAGCTATATTAGAGGACATAAAAAGCTCTATAAAAAGATGTTAGGATTCAGAAAATCATCTTATTATTAAATTTATCAAATTATAAAATGAATTATTATAAGCAAAGATTATTTATCCACTAAAATTATTTTAAAATTTTTCTCAAAAACACTAATTTAATTCTTAATTAAGAGATTGCACCCAAAACACTTCAATGCAAATATCGTTCAACATAATGCAAAGTTTCGAACCCAACCTCAACCATAATCAAAACAATAATCATCCATTCCAATCGTACGTGATGTTTATCACTTAAATGCGACGATAACAACTCGATAAGTTCAACGCAATGATTAATTTTTTCGTTCATCACCCGCGTACGCTTCGCGATACTAAAATAACCGCAAACATGAGAATAAAGCACCTCCAATTGATCTTGGTCCCAATAAAAATCGGGGGTATCCAATAAATCCGAGCTTAGATTAATCACATGACGTAGCGCAAATAATTCCCCGTGTTTTCTCAATACATCATCTTGACTCATTTTGATTTTCCTACCGAATTTTAAATCGTCCGTAACGAACTCGATTGTGTCTATGTAACGTTGTAACGAAGCCTCCCAACAGCCTAATTTAACCGAGAGAGCCATTGCGTTTGAAAAGGTGTATTTTTCTAGTGTATTATCTTCCGGGGGGATTAAAATTTCTCCGTTTGAAGTTAATGACGGTTTTCTAAAACAAAAATTAATTTGAGGTTAATTCAATTTTGACATAAACAAATTTTTTTTTTAGGTTACCTGTCATTTTGACATCTATAATTCATATACTCAGCTTCGTTTTGGATTAAACTCTCGGAATAAGCGTCCGTTTCGAAGGTTTTAATAAAGTTTAAAATATTTTCGATTTCTAATTCGGATATGTTCCACATAACAATGGTGCCCTCCCGGAAAAAAAATAACTCTCGGGGTTCATCCCCAACTTGATATTTAGCAACCGCATGAACTACATCGGTGTTATCCACGAATTTCGGTTCGTATAAATCTTCTTGTTTTAAGCCGGAAAGTAATTTTTCTAGGTTGTACTCATCAGCGGTGGAGAATGCGGTCACGTCAAAAAAACCGGGGGTTTTAATTTTAAGGTCTTCTTCTTCGAGGGTTCGCTTTTTTCGTGCCGGGCGTTTTTTCAGTTGTAACGAAGAGATTTTATCTTGAATACCTTGAACAAGTTGGGGCTTCACTTTGGGTATTAACGTTGAATTTGGACGATACAAAACGGTTGTATTTATGATTGTAAAGGGCTTTAAATCTATAATAGGGTTCGTTTTAAACAGAACAGGGCGAATTGCCGAAAACGTTCTAAAAAACCGAGACATTTTTGAGGTTAATTCGACTCGTCAACATAACCTAAAAATTTGAATTAAAAATATCTTATAAATAAGAGATGGCGCTTTTAATAAAAAAAATTCAAAATAAATAATGATTTTTACTTTTTAATAAATAACATTTTAAGTATTAGTACTTTTTAATTCTAATACAACATAAAAATTACTTGACGTTTAATTTTTTTAAGGTTATCTGGTAATTTGACATTATTAAATTAAAGACTACTTAAGTAATAAATAAGAGATGGCGCTTTTAATAAAAAAAATTCAAAATAAATAATGATTTTTACTTTTTAATAAATAACATTTTAAGTATTAGTACTTTTTAATTCTAATACAACATAAAAATTATTTGACGTTTAATTTTTTTAAGGTTATCTGGTAATTTGACATTATTAAATTAAAGAATATTTAAGTAATAAATAATAGATGGCGGTTTTATAAGCAAAGTTTCAAACCAACTCTTATATTGGTTCAAAGTTCAAATTAATCTTAAGATAAACAATGATTTTTGCATTTTAATAAATAATATTAGATAAACTAAATAAATGGCTGAAAAAGCAGCAAATTTTGCTTTTACATCCGAAGCGAAACCTTCAATTTTTGAGGTTATAGCCCAACGCTCTTTAAACATAACCTTACACCCAGCTTTAAAACGAATCGCGGAGGTAATAATAATAACAATAATAAGAATTAAGCTAATTAAATGGATTAGTTTTTAGCAGAAAGTAGCCCAAAGCATTTCAATTGGTTGTATACACATTACGAGGAAACATTTTTAGTTTTAAACGGACTCTTACAATATTATTACATAAAAAAATATGATGCTTCATTTTCGGAGTACTTTTACGGATTAAAACGCATCTCGTCCGATGGTAAACTCCTTTCCGATCATCAAAGAAAGCTTTCATTTCTATTCCTGGTTATTTTGCCGTATTTAAAAAGAAAATTAGAGGAACGGATCAATTTTTACAAGATTCAAAACGCCGAGGGTGTTTTAACCTCAAAAACGAAAAAATTACTTATTTATTCGCACTCAACGTTTGATCTAACGTGGGGTGTTTGGGTTTTAATTAATTATTTGCGATACATGTCGGATAAAACTATTTATCAAAGACCGACATTACAACTTATTCAAATCCAATTGATTTTGGTTGAGGATCGTGATGATGTCTCGTCATTTTGGGGGGCTCTATTTAAAGGCAAATTAAAGTTGAAAGAGTTTACTTCGGGGGTGTTGAAACACGGGTTAAGGACATGTTTGGAAATTGGAGCGTTTTTTATACAATTTTTGCAAACTTGGTATGCGGAAAAATCGGATTTTAATGTTACGGCTCTTCCCACGGTTCCCCCACCAAATGTGAGTTTATAAAATCTATTTTTTTTAATTATTTACTAAGTTTAACATTTTTAGATTGATTCTAAAGCGAAAGCTTTGAAAGGAAAATGTCCCATTTGTTTACAACCGTGGAAAATACCGACTGTTCTTCCAGCTTCGGGGTAAATTTTCCAATTTAATTTATTTATTAGTAATTGTTTCTATTTTAGATATGTTTATTGTTTTCCGTGTATTGTGAAACATTTTCGAGAGAATGCATCAACCTGTCCCGTTTCAAACATTCCAGTTAGAGCTTTAGATTTAGTTCGATTGTATGATTCTTGACCAAAATAAATTTATTTAAAACGTCTTTGCGTCATGTGGGCTTCGCCTACTTATTGATCTACATATATCGTTTTATACTTTATATCGTCGCCGGGCGTGCAATACCTCCAATGTGACGTACCTTCCTAAATCTAGGTTTTGACACTAAAAGACGTATTGGAGATTGCCGCATCTTCTGGCGATATCTCTAATGTTCCGCAGTCCACTAACATGGTATTCAAAACAACTTTTTCAATCGCCAATGTGACGCATGCCCAAATACTATGACAGAAATATACCCAATGTGCAATTAAGCAACATTGGTGTTATTTATGTAGTTAGCTCCGATGGGACGCTTGATAGAGTGAATGATGATATGTCGCAGAAAATTGAAGATGCAGTTCCACAACCACAACCATTGGAATACACCAATCTGATAGAAGAAAAAAAGAAGACAATTCAAATAGAAACGTGTAATGGCATTATTTACGTAGAGGAGCCAGGTAATAATGATAGATACCTGCACACGAATGACACGGTCCTGGAAAAATCGAATGAGGTAGAAACTGCAGATAGGCATTCAACGTTTGGTCTGGGTGAAAATCCAAGCATCGGACTTGAAGAACTCGAAGAATTACGAAGAAGTCCACATTTTGTGCTCATTCACGTTACAGAGGAGATGGAGAACGCAGGAAGAGACACTGATTTTGGATCTGTCGAAGATCCTTGTATCATGGAAAACAACGAAGAAACAGAGGATGAAGTCCGTGAAAAGTTCGAGAACGTCAAAGATGCAGTAGAGGGCAAAGAAGAACAAAAACAATCGGAAGATCCTTATTCTGATTCTAGAGGAGGTACAGAGATGGGTAAAAAATATAAACAAATAAAAAATGCAGAAAACGGTTCTGATTTTGAGCCAGAAAGTAGTGATGAGGAAGGCGAAATCATTTTAAAGAAAAGGACACATTTAAAGCGAGGAGACAAGCTAGAAACAAAATTAGAAAGAGTTCGAGGTAAAGGTTATAAAGGTTACAGAAGAAATAAAGAAAAACATATAACACGTACTCCAAGGGAAGCTAGACATCTAAAGGCAAGATGCAATCACAAGACAATAGAAATAGAAAAAATAACAAAAAAATCTTTTTGTGCGCTTCACTTACCGATGAGGACAGACAAGATATTTTTCGAAGACTATGGAAGCTAGATACTTGGAATGAAAAAAAAACTATTTATCCGAAATCTCATTGTCACCAGACCAATTCGCAGACGAAGAAAAGACATAAAAAATAAGGATGGTGATTTCAAGAAAAATGAAGGTCATGACTATTTTCTTACGAAGCGAAATAGGGAAAGACTCAAAGTTTGTCACAAGATGTTTTTACATACTTTAAGTTTGGGTGAAGACTGCTTGAAGAGATGGCTAAAAGAAAGCAGGTCGGTCTCTGAGTCATCTACAGATGATACTATAAGTCACTCTGAAGTTCCGATGAATAATAACAAAAAAGAAACTCGTCAAGGTATACAGCAACAGAAATTAAGCCGCACTGTTGTTGAGTGGCTTAGTTTGATACCAAAAGTACCGTCACACTATTGTAGAGCATCTTCATCTAGACATTATGTTGACAATGCTTTTGTTTCAAAACAAAATATGTATAAAATATACAAGACTTGGTGTACAGAAAATGAAAAAGAAGTAACGCACCTTAAATCATTTAAATGTATTTTGAGGGATGAAAAAATTTCTATCCACAAACCTCGCAAAGATCAATGTGATACTTGTGTTGGTTATAAATGTGGAAATGTTTCTGAAGTCGAATATAATCTTCACCGTGGAAAAGAAAAAGCTGGTAGAGAAGAAAAAGCAGCTCTGAAGGCTAGTGCAAGTGATGAAAACTTTGTTGTCACCATGGACCTTCAGAGTGTTTTGACATGCCCAAAACTCCTAGCTTCAGAAAGCTACTATAAGCTGAAGCTACAACTACACAATTTTACCATTTATTCGTTAAACGACAAAAGGGTTGCGCTATATGTATGGCACGAAGCCAATGGCGGAGTTTCATCGAATGAATTCACGTCCTGTGTAATTGATTACTTGCTGTCCAAGCTGGAGGACCAGAACAAAATTAGATCATTTGTTCTGATTTCGGACGGATGCAACTATCAAAACCGCAATAAGGTCTTGGCAAGTGCTCTTAATGACTTTGCCGTTGAAAAAAAAGTAACAATTCACCAGCTTTTCTTAGAAAAGGGACATACCATGATGGAAGCTGATTCTGTCCATTCAGCATTAGAACATTACTTCCATCCTCCTATCAACTCACCAACTGACTACGTGGCAAGAATGCGGCTAGCTCGACCAAGTCTTCCATACGAGATAAAAGTTCTAGATCACACTTTCTTTAAAAAATATGAAATGCCTTCTAATTTTCCGTCCATTAGGCCAGGAAAGCGTGTGGGAGATCCCGTTGTAGTCGATGTTCGTCAAATAAAATATTTACCTGATGGTAAAGTTTTATACACCTTGGACTACTCTAAAAATTGGCAAGAATTACCTCATCGAAGATGTCCTCAAGAAACTGCTTCTTACACTATGCCGCTTTATAAAAGACAACTGCCAATATCTGACGACAAATACAACCACTTGCAAGACTTAAAGGGAGTTATAGAAAAAGATCATCATCCATTTTACGATGCATTGCCGCACGAACATAAAAAGAAGAAAACTAAAAACTAAAGTTTTTCTTTCAGTTGAATAATTAAGTTGATTTTCTTTTGAAGCGTTTTGATAAATTTCTATGCATAAATAAATAATATAATAATAAATAAATTTTTGAGTAGACAGGGCTTTTATTTGTTTTGCACAAATATATTATTTCTAAATCCTAAAATAGGTACAATGAAACCGTAAAGTGGTAAATACCAACAATGTGATATTTTAAAATGTAGCAATACCCCCAATGTGACTTGCATAAGCGAATTTTTGGAGAAAAAAGGTGTTCCGATTGTTTTTGTGTGATCTGTTACATTCAAAATGTATATAAATCAGCGTCAATACAATTTTTTATGATATTTTTCCGAATCTCCTTCAATTATATAGTTTTTTCGTTCTCCTGTAAAATTTGTAATTATTCACATTAGAGGTATTGCACGCCCGGCGACGATATGTTGTTAATTGGGATTGCTAACATTTAACATTTTTGATCTGACAGTTCAAATTGGTTCAAACTGTCAATGTCACTGCACTTTCACACTGTCACTTTGAGTCGCGGGATAGGTAACCAATTTTTTGTAATTCGCGACGGTAACGAAAGCTCTAACAGTACCCAAACGGGTGCTGTAATGAGATTGGGTCATTAATTTTTCTAGTTGTCAATGTGACAATTTTTGTCTATGGATGTTTAAACACGTTCTTAGCATCGGATACAAGGTCCACAATGATGAGGACATTGAACACTGAGCAATTTCTCTTATTTTGGGAGGTGTACATGAAACATTGTTTAAGGTGAATATATTTTGTGTTTTGACAGTTTCTAATTGTCAATTCAAATTTATCTTTTCAAGTGTTACGGTGTTACCAACTGCTGCATACCTATTTCCTTACATTGTCAAAATTTGTTTTATTTGTTATTATTAGGTTCGTCCCAACCGCACTTTTGACTGCCAATTGACAGTCACCAGCCTGCGCAGTTGAAAAGTGCTGTTCCATCCGACCCGTGGACGTGCCGCGGACTGGTCGGCGACAAGTTGTCATGAGTTCCAACGACCGTCGGACGCGTTCATGTACGCGTCCGCGACAAGTCAAATGCGTACCTGGTTTCGACGATGTACGGTTTGTCACGTTCTTTAGCGCTTGCGCATAACTCATTTCCAATTGTGCAGCCGGTCTGTTTGTATCTGTTATGGGTATCTTTACCATCAAGCGGGTCTGTCACGACGAGCTAAGTCTATATCTATGTGGCAAACTACTGGTACAATTTCTCTGAAAATTTGCATATAGCGTTTATTCGAGGATCTCGTTTCAGCTAAAATATTTTCAGTGTTCTCCAACTTCCGGTTATACCGGAAATGGACTCCAACTTCGTTATTTTAAATGGAATGTACCAATTTTTATTGAATTTTCGAGATCCCCACTAAATTTTAATATAATTCGATATAAGTCATCATATGTCTAGAGCGCACCATTTATGGATTATTTCAGTTTTTTCGAAAATTATGGCAGATGCAACCCTTCACAATAAAAGTAATTTTTCGAAATTACACTCGAGTCCGGCCAAATATTCTCAGGGTTTGCACAGNTAATTGTCATTTGGTTAAATACACAGTTTGTTGCCATCGTCACACGGTTTATTTTTTTATTATTATTTTGTAACCATGTACACGTCTTTTTTAATATTAATTTTTAATTAATTAACTATTTTAACTTAAGTAAGGTACTATTAAATAAGCTATTATACTTATTTATCATTTATATTTACAATACAAAGATATTTCAGTCGTTTGACATATCAATTGATACACAATCTATTAACATAAAGTCTATTAGCACACATTTGGTAGAAACAATTCTATCTAACGACAGGTAATTGTCGTTATGCTTTGATAGCCTAAGAAATAAGGTTTTCATCCGAAAATATGTTGTAATCTCAACAAGTTTAGTGAAAATAAGTTTTTATTTAGTGCGTGGGTATAAATTAAACAATTTGAGGTTAGGATTTAATACGAAAATGCATATTTAACATTGCTTTTAACTTCCAAAACAAAACGTCAAATCGCAACTTTAAAGTGATTTTTCGGTAAGTACTACACTTTTCCGCACTTTTTTTTTATCATTTACTCCTCTTTTGACTCATTTCCTATCGATTAAAAAAAAATCATCGATTTTTAAGAGAGACTCCTAATCTTGATATATGCCGTATTCTACTCGCATATAATGAGCTATTATTCACTCAGGTTAATTATACCACTCGCTACGCTCGTGACATAAACTTAACCTTCGTGAATAATAGCCCTCATTATATGCTCATATAATAATATACTATTATCTAGGACTGCTTGGATAAGTCATCATTACCGCACTCATTTGAGGTGATTTGAGTTACGTAATGAAGTTCATTACCGCACTGGTTTCATTACGTAACGCATTTTTAGCCTAATCAGAACA